TTAAAGCTATGTGAGGCAGAGATACCTGTCTTATAGCCAGGAAAGCAGCAGTTACAAACACATTGATGCTCTTTTTAGACTAGATTTCCAAGGGATTTGTTTTCTGTCCTCCAGGAAGAAGGTTTTGCAGCATCAGAAGAACAAAGATATAAAACAGCAAGGAAGAAAACGGAGTCAGATGATAGATGTAAAGCGACTTGCATAGGAGACAACAAACCTGATGATACAGACCATGTCAGAAGAGGACGGATAGAAAAAACAGTAGAGAGCTCACTTGCAACAAAGAAGAGAGATCAACCAGAATTCAATAAACATACAACTGATGAAGTTCAGGAGCTGAAGTTTCAGGTAAACTGCTTATACTGTATCAGTGTTACATTTATTAAGCAAATCAAGTTGTGATTTAGCTACTGTCTCTGCAGAGTATCTTTATGGATAACTGTATAATTTTAATAACTGAAACTATTTCCACCCTTGTTGAATTTCAGCATCCTCATGCTTTACTCCAAGGTGTTATATTAAATTCCTAATTACTTGGACTTAACTTTACAGTTCTGGAGTTCAGGTAAATTAGTATGAGCAATAAAAGCCTGAACAGATGCACAGCAAGGGTCTAATAAACCTCTAATTTGTCTACAGTTCTCAGAGAAATTCAGCATAGCGATTTCTTTTTGTAGAAAGACAGAAGGAGTGGAGAAACAACATAAACTGACAGCTGAAAATATTTTTTCAGGATTAAAGCAGAAGAGAAAGTAGCCAGAGGGTGAAGGCCCTGCTACTGTAGATAGAAACAACAAAATGCTTAGAGATCCAGCATTCAAGTCACCGAATCTCATATTCCCATGAAAATTAACTGAAACCTTAATACCATCAGCTACAAAAAGATTACAGAGATATAGGTCATGTCACTAATTCTGATCATGGAATCTGATCCTTGGGGAGCGTTAAGCACCCAGGGAGTCTCATTAGTGGGACTGCTCATGTTTAAAGCATATGAACTTGGCCATAAGCTGCAGTGTGCAGTTGCTCAGCAGTACTTTTCCCCTGCAGGAAACAGGAGACAATTCAGGGTACCCTACTGCCTACCAAAAAAGGCAGCTAACTGGTGTTTAGCCTAGGTAAGAGCCTTCAAAGAGACAGGACTTGAAGTGTCAATAGTTTACATGCCTATACTGAACACCTGACACATACTCAAGCACCTTCCTGGGGTCCTAGATAATGAATTTGATTTTCTTTATCGGAATAATAAAAGTACAGATAGGAGAGATGCATTGTGAGCCAGCTGCTCTAAAAATCAGCGCCAGCCCACAGAAGCTAATGTACATCCATATCGCTACCACATGGATCATGCTCCCTGTGATCACAAATGTGATATGGACGTTCTGTCTGAGGATAATATAAAAGAAGATGTCATCACAAGGACTAAATTATGTATTTTATTCCACTGATTGTATCTTTAATTGTTTAAAGCATAAGAACCTGGAATTAGAGAGTCACATAATTGGATTTAAGGCACACAATGTACAAATATTTATAAAATCTGTGTACAAAGTGGGCTACATATAATTGCATTAAGTAGAAAACAAATATACAGGCCATAAAAATGGAGTTCCAAAGAGGATACTATTAAAGTGCTCACAATAAAAAGATATACATAGTATATTCCACGCATTAAAACAGCCTCATATTTTATTCCTGTGATTGCCAAGAAACAACAAACATCATAGAACAAAAGTTAAATCAACACTTTGTCCTGCGTTGACATCTACCACGTGGGTTTGTTGCACCATGTCCTCTGAAGTTGCTGTGACAGAATAGGTGCCAGGAGAAACTTCAATGTAGATGTCTTTGGAAGCTTTTCTGGTCTTTAGTGGGGGGAAAAAAAGTTTCATTACTGTTTAGTCATCTTATATTTCCCACAAAAATAAAAAGTGTGACTTTGGGTATAAAAATTACATTTCAGCTGCTATATAAACGTACTAAGATTTTTTTCAAAATACACAGGCAGCATGGATAAAACTGTAAAATGTTTCTGTCAACACAAAAATTAGCAAACGCCTCACTCAAAAGTATTTCATCTAATGTTTCAGTCAATGGAATAATCATGCTGTAATCTCTGCCTCACAAAACTGAAAGTTACCAACCTAAATGGTTTTGAACATAAACCTGGAGAACAACTGTACGACAAGGGTGCTCCCACTAATTTGTAGGGTGGTACAGATTCCATGTTTCTCATCTTTTGTGGCTTAGAAGCTCCTGAAACTGATTTGGTGAGGTGTTGGGCTTTGAAAAATAAGAAACACTTTTCTCCTTGAGGAACAGGAGTCTTTGGAGAGACTATATGAGGGCTAAGCATAAGTGGGTAAGCAACTGCTGCATGCCTCGCTGCACGCCCTTCCTCAGCACAGGGACTGTGAGCGAGACTGGAGAACTGCTGGATTATTGTTGCTGATGCAATTCACAAGGGCCTAAAGATTAATCACAGTGTTTGACATCCAGTACCACTCCAAAATATAAAGTAGACTCTTAACTGGTTACGTGCCAGAACGCCACAATCCTGTTTATAATTAATTGTGCAAGTCTCTGTATGCCCATTCTACTGCCCACCTATATGTGCATTAGGTCTGTGAATGCACCACTGGTTTATCCTCTGTGTCATCACAGACTCTCCACACCTGATCACAAATTTAACCAGCTTGATGCACAATGATAAAGAAATACTATACCTCAATTTAAAAACAAAGTATTCTATAAACTTACGTGCTGCTGGCAAGTTTGAGCTTGACTGGGTGCTACAGGGGCTTCAGTCCTCTGCAAAGAAAAAGATACTGTTTTCTAATGATACAACAGAAAAGGCAAATTCAGCCCCTGAGAGAGGGGATGCTTTATGTCCATGGCATTTTCCCCTCCCCAAAAGGACTGATATGACACTGATTGGTGCCACCAGAAGTTACTCTGCTTCTCCCCTCAACAGAAGCTCAGATCAGTCCAGGTGTTCATGTGCCTGTGATGTCAACTCACACATTTTAGGGTAAGCAAGTGTCACAGACACTAGATGGAGAACAATTGTCCCATGGCAAGGGAAGGAGTAACCTTTAATCAAAACCAAAACCACTTACCTCTTCTTCAGAGGGCCTCAGCTCTCTTTCCCCTGCTTGCCTGCCGTGGTATCTGCAGATGTGTTTGATTTCATGCTCTTTGCATCTACAGGCTGCCATGAAGCTATAGTACTTCTGGACAACAACAGAAACAGGGAATATTATGTGGAGAAGCATCAAAGACATGCTCACATCTACTGCAGATTTACAATTAAAAGTGGAACCGCACAACTACTGACCTTCTGTATTAATTGGCTGGTTTGTTCTCGTGTGAGGATGAAAACCATGCCGGGATGTCCACAGGACATCTGCCTCCTGGTACAAAACTGTCAGCCCTGATTTTAGATGCCTGTCTCCTGACACAATATATAGGGACTCTGACACCTCAGAACTGAATTCATTAAAATATCAGAAGGAATGCTCTGGAAACATCTACCTGATCAGGCTCTTCAAGAAAAGCTCTGGTGGAAGAAGGGCATAGTTTATGGGTCCTTAATAGAGTGTATGTGCAAGCTAGGTGCTTTGCAACCTGGCCAGTGAAGACTGGTTCTGCAGGGCACGTGCACAAGCAGTGCTCTAAAAGCAGAACATCTTAATACTGACAAGTGAGGGGGTGAAGAAGCTAAAGTGTCTTCAAGGCTGGTACCAGTAGCATAGTGGGTTTGAGAATTGTATTTAAGTCCACAGCAGTCCTTTTCTGGCTCCATAGTAAAGGTACTTGAATCTTCCCCACTGGAAATCAGAGTACAGCTCTGCTGCCATCTGTTGTCACCAGAGAACTCCTCCCAGGGTTACCTTTTCAATCACAGGGACCAAAAAGTTCCAAAATGTCTATTTTATTTCACTTGGATCTTCCTTGTCTCTGACTGTCAAGCCTAAACAAAAATAAGGCCGATAGCAATTCTTATTTCCAAATCTACTGCTGTGTTTTATTCCTTGAGGTTATGCACACATCAGCAGATTTGGTTGCTTGTATTGTGGTCTGGTGTGGAGCTACGTCCCAAAATATATCCAGTACTCTGACCTATTGCATAATGCTTCACAGAGCATCCCTGTATCGCAGGTGGTGAGCTGGATTCTTTTATACGATGTCACAAAGCATGGGACATGAAAAAAAAAGAAATTAAATCAAATCAAACTTTTGGTAAGAAATGTAGGTAAACTTTCCCTTAGTAACTCTAAACAGCTCATCTTAAATCACAATTTTAATCGTTAGCATTCAAGTGCCTAAATGGTTATGTTCAGCTGTGGATTTTTATTTGCACGTTGTCAACTTTATCCATGAACTTGTGGGTCTGAGAATTCTGCTGCCCCCTGCCTCCTTTTATGCCTCTTCTCCACAGAAGATGACTGCAGCAGTACTGTCTTGGCTGATACATAAACGTGGAAGTCATCCACTGTTTGTTGCAGCTCTAATGCTCCCACCAGGGCACAGGATCTGTCTCTATAGGCTGTTACATTTGTTTCACCTTGCATAAAACTGTTCTGCCTGAGTTGTTTTAGGGTTAACCGGTTACTGTGTAGGCAGTGCTCTGAAATGATAAAGGAGTTGCTTAAGAGCTAATCATCTGGTGTGTGTTGAACTACTGTTTCCTCTAATTTAATTGAAGACTTAGTCTCCGTTATTAATTTTGCAGACAACGAGCTCCCTGCTGTGTTATGGTAACAGATCCCAAAGGGCACAGACTATGTAGACTGTGATGGCCTTTTCACAGACTTCAATGCAGCAGTTGGGCTGCAGGGCAGCGTTCCCAAGGACGAGCTGGCAGGGACGGGGTCCTGCTCTGCCTACCCAGGAGAGTAATGACACCCAGCAGCCAAAGTCGATGTGAAAGCAGTGGAGCTCTGCAGCAGTGTGCCGTGCCTCTCAATTTCTACTTACCACAAATAAAGATACGGTGCTGCTCTGAACTGGGCCTACACTCCTTGTCCAGTAGCAACGTCTCAAACAAAGTTTGCTTAATACTGGGGAGGTTAACTTCAGAGCGAAGGCGTGACACGAAACAATCTTTGTGCTGAGATTCAAACTCTCCCTTACTTCTGCCACCCCAGAACACACTGACTCTATCAGCCAGCCCGAGCAGTTCATGTTGGCAGGATGAAAACAAGGGGTTACTCTGTCAGAAAGCAAATCCATAGCAGAGCTGCAGAAGTACCTGGAAACAACTCTGTACATTGTGACATGTGACAAGCCTGTGTGACACAATGTAATTTGTCATGTCACCTGACATTTCTGTCTCTCTAACCATA